AACAACTTGATATATATATATATATATAATACGACGTCAACAAGTTTTGTTATTTGACATGAATGTTGAGATGATTAATATGAATTCTAGAGCATTTTTTAATAAAAATATTCAAATTTAAATTAAATATTATCAATAATTATGATTTTAACAAACTATTAGTCAAACTGACCGACTAAATGAGACTTACCCAACAACACTAAAATTGACCAATTTGAGTCAAATCAAGTTGTTAAGTGAATTTTGAGAGTTTTGGGTGGCCAATTGGAATGTCAAATGTATTCTAAATCTGATATACGTATAATCAAATCAAGTGTCTTGATGAGATGAATTCAATGAGCTTGAAATCACACTATTATGAAGCCGTTAAGAATTTTAAATGTTTACAGAATATCACCTGATCAAGGGAACCTCTCAGGGCCATCATATGGAGTGGTCTTGACTCATGCCTTATTTTTAAAAGAAGCTACTCATGTACTCTATAAATATAGTCTTATCCCCTTCATAAAAGGGAGATCGGGGAGGGGGTGGGAACCACAAGCTAGAGTTGGGCCCGAAGAATAATAAGTTAAATTAGTGATGTTCTGAATCGAAGAGCTGACGAAGAAATTTTGCTCATACTCAAACACTGCTTGTTGGCCATCGTCGAACACCGCCACTTGCTCTTACTAACTTGGATGAATCCTATGGTATAACGACGCTCCCCAATTTCAGTAAAACTAAGTATCCAAATATGGTGCACACAACCTCAAGACATTGTAACAAAGCACTTCAAAGATGGTGCAATAACACACCCCAAGAACGATGTAACACTCTGAATAATCTCTTGCAATTGTCATGCTTAGAATATTGTGACCACTCAAAACTTCAGAAGTTTTCTCCTCATAGTTCTCCACTACAACATACACCTATGTGATTCATTGCAACTACAACATCTTACAACGCCCTTGTGACATGCGTCAATTTTACATGATTTAACATGTTTTTTGACATGCATTTTACATACTATTTTACCTCATTTATCATGATTTTATGCTTGTGAAAGGTTCTTTGTGTTATTCTGCAGGCTATATGTGTCAAATACACAAAACAACGTCAAAACGCGCAAAATAGTGTTGTCTGGCATGACAACGCTTGATCTAGGCATGACCACACCGAGGTCTAGCGAGACCACGATAATGGACCCTCTAGATCTTGTTTTTGAAGGGTTTTTATATAGATTTTTGTTGAATCTTTAAAAGGGAAGCTAGAGCACGGATTGAAAGATCCTTAGGCGAAGAGGAGAGTTCGAGATGGTTGAAGGAGTTGTTAAGAATTTTCCTTAGGTTTCCTCTTCCTTTGTATTGTTTTCTATATATTTTGAGAGATTATTGTATGAGAAATGAGCTGACTGCTATGAATGAAGGAACAAATTATTTTATAAATATTTACCTTTTAATTTTACTTATAACAATGGTTTTTGTTAGGTTGTTTTTCTGGTGCTCTTTCTATCACGTGTAGCTAATCCTTTTTTCGCGCCTCTATGATTTATGGGATGTGGTTTTCTCAGATGATTTATTTCTCTGTATTGTTTTCTTGAGACATCAGTGCTTTTGTGTTGTTGTGTTAACCATAGAGTTTCATTTACTCATGATCTGATCAATTATGATGTTAAAAAATTTTGTGATGTGTGACTCCTACCCGTTATGCAGAGGAACGACATGATTAACCATAAAATTTAGGTAACAATAGACATATTTTATCTTGGTTTTACAACCTTGAAAGGGGATAAGGACAAATAAGTAGGTTGCCATGAGGATTGAGTAAGCCTCAACTTCATAGATTCAAGTCTTCGTTTGACTTAGACATAAACATAAGGCGAAGTTTTTATCCATGTTGACAAAAATCACGTTACAGAAAGTCTAGGAAAATCATGAATCACCACATTACCTAAGTCACAAGAGCGCAAACCTCACATACCTTGAAGACATATTAGATTTATTTGCCATTATTTTTTGTATTCTCCAAACACGTTATCTTTTATTATTGCTTTTAAGTAGGATTTTAGGAAACAATCTTTTGTTTGTCATCACGCTGAACTAGGTTTAGAGGTTTAGTAAACTAGTCAATCAGAATAGTTCTTATCCCTTTCATCGTGGAATCGATACGTGATATTCTTTAACAACATTATTACTTAACATGAGCACTTGTATTGTATAGCCAATTTACGTCCCGATAAGTTTTGAGCGTCAAATTGTTAAGTTACTGAAATGAATTGAAAATGATTAAAGATAATTTTGGTTTGCTAAATTTTCAAATCACACATTTTTAGTACTCTACGAGTTCTTTTAACAAAAAATATATTTAATGTTTTCAGTTCATTTTAATAACTTAACAACTTGATACGCACCCGGTTGGCCACTAGCCCCGGTTTAAGGGGTTTGCACTTAATCAAATAGATCTTTTGGTCTTTTGCCAGCGGGTCGTCCTAGACGTACTTCTTTTTCTCTTAATTCATTGTATTCATCGAGATTCATGTTGAAGCATTTCTGATGTGCAATCATCATGAAGTTTTTATTAAACATGAATCTCAATGCATTTTTTGGTATGAGGTCATCTGAATTTAAATTAAAGATCATTCGTGCCTCGATTTCAACATGTTTATTATGAAATCAAACTAATCGTCTCTCATGGAGAATCCAATGTTGTCAATTTTCAAAGTTAGTTCACTCCTGGTCCAATCAAACCCATGTCAAGTCATCGAAGCATAATTGGATGCTTTGTGTCGTCAATTGAGTGGTAAAATGAACTCAAAATTTGACATATTTATTGTCAAATCAAATGTCTCGATGAGAGAAATCCAACAATTCTGAGACCGCTCAATTTCAAAACCGATCATTAAAACACTCAAATCCTTAAAAAATTATCTATGATCAAGGGGGCTTAACATGGACCGTCAGATCTAGGTCCTTAGAGAAGTTATGCATCTAAAGACTAAAATGCCCCTCCCTAAAAAACTTTAAAAATGCCCATTCCTTTATTGAAGAGAGGAAAATAAGGATAAGAAAAAATAAAAAATAAAAACATATAAAATCCAAAGTCTATTTTGGAGAGAGGACCGGACGAGTAACCACTGGTCTCCGTAGCCACTGTCCACTATCAACCACCTTCCATCGACAACCATTGCTTGCAACCGTTGTAAACAGACTATGACTATTGTTTAATTTCTTATTACATAAATTTTCTTAGCTATATAATGACTAGTGTAATTTTCGTTTAAAAATGTAACCCAGTTTTCACTGTGGTGAGAGAATGATGTATCCCTATACTCATAAAAAGATAGTAAATTACTGTGATTGTGTTAAGCCTCGTGGACTTTTTCTTTTTAATATTTTTTCACGTAAAAATATCGATGTCTCCTCGCTCTATTTTTCTCTCGTACATGTATATTCGATCTTCGTGCAACGCTAGGACGATCAATTATTGTCGCGACGTCATCATAAATTTTCAAGCCCACAACAAAAACAATTATTTTTTATTATAATATACTCATTCAATTAATGTTCAATAATCAAGATTAATTGGATCAACTAATTCATAAATCAAATCATCCAAACAGTTCAAGTACATGCCCCTAACAACATCAAATTTTAAATAATTAGATTAAAACCCCATAACTAAAACGACAAAATAGGTAATATCTAAAAGGACAGCACCCACATCAGAAGAACATCAGCATAAATAAATTAAAATTAAAATTTTATATACATAACACTCAATTCCTATGTATTTACAAATCTAACCCCCAAATTTTAAAGTCTTACTTTCTCATAATTAAATAGATCATGATATTATAAATGTAAAAAAATAAAAGTTTGATGTTAAAGATGTAAATTTATATGAATTGGGCAGGGCAGCTAGTCTGTTAATGATCCGATTTCGAGTTGAGTTGGGCCAGCTCAAAAAAACAATTCGAAAACAAAATCTATCCAAATTTTTGGCTCACAGCACGGCTCATTTCACTCGATCGAAGCCCAAATCTGAATCAATTTTTTAGCGATTAATGATCTTCGAGTTAAACTTTACTAAATTCTTAGCCCTAACATCAATACGGCTAAGAATTTCGATCTGATCTCAATCCGAACCAAAATTCAAAATTAATTTTCGTCTGATTACCGATCTTCGATCAAAATTCACGGCCCTAGAATCGGGTGGTATCTAAGCCTCAAAAAATAAATCATAAAATATACTAGCTTTCCCCCATTCTCCAACTTAAACTAACAATTAACTAAATAAATAATATTGTTTTACATTTAATATATATTTTATATAAATTTGTTGCGTGGAAAACCTGCTCTCTATTATAAATGTAATATTTTTTTTTTGCACTTTCGTCCCCCCTTCACAAAAAGTGTGTCACCATCAACCCTCCTTTCCCCCAGATTTGTCGCATTCCTGGGCGTATTTTCCCCTCCGTTTCTCCCCCACAGATTTGCAAACCATTTCCCTCTTCACTCTTAACTGTCTCCCACCACAACCACAACCACAACCAATTCATCATGCATCCAATCATGCTTTCCGTTTAGCTGGATCCCGATTCCCTTTTTGCTTTTTCCTTTTCCTTTTCCTTTTTCTTTTTATTTATTTATTTATTTATTTATTATATTTCATTTCTTAACTAAATATTTTATTAATCATAATTAAAATAAAACTAAAAAAAATAGTGAATCATTGCCCACAGAATAAAACATAAGAAATGAGAGAGACTCGGAGAGAAAAAATAAATGAAAGAGTGAAAAGTAATATGTCTTATCTATTATCATTCTTTCTCATAAAATGATCTTCTTATTTATAGGAAAGAGATGTCATACTTTAAAAGGAGTTGTACATTTTAGATATTTGATATATATTAGTTTATTATTTGGCTGTAGTCTGGCTCGATCGGTTGGGTGAGCTTGATTTGCCGTACCGAGAATATTCTTAAATCCTAAACTTCGATAAGTGACATCAATAGATCACTTCGACAAGCGAAGTGGGCTGACCCTATTTAAAAATAAATCTCGTTAGATTCACATTTTTTTTTTATGGAATGACCAGAGTTATTATACGAGCCTCCGACCACCCCCAATGTGCCTAATAATTCGAGTAGCTCCTCCTTAAGCCCAACGATGCAAGAGGAAATTCGAGCCCTCGACTGGAGGGGTCTTATACCGTGGATGTCAACCAATAGGTCAGACATACACGTAAAGTAATATAAGAGAAGTTTTTTATTTTCTAGAATGGCCGAAAATACTTTGATTTATCTAAGTTAATAAAATAATATGATAATAATAAGAGAATTTCATAATATTAAAAATATAAAAAAGGTTGAATTGGTCTGTGGTGACTCATGGAGACGAATTTTCATTGAACTAAAATTTCAATGTTAAGCGCTATAGAAATCAATAAGTAGTTGGAAAATTATTTGGAACGTGTGGATTTAATTTTTTTTATATTATTTTATTGTATTCATTTTATAGCCTTGAAAGTTTAACTTAATTTCTCCTCCATAAAAAAAAAAATTGAAAATGTAATAATATTTTCGACAATTATTTACATAAATACCACTTAATTCCTATATTTTTACATACCCCCATATATATGAGAGTAATATACTCAATTAACATTGTTTTTGAAAGATTTGCCTACATACCACATAATTTTTATGTATTGACATATCTACCATCACCAAGGATAAAAATGTGTATTTTATTTTCTAAAGTTAAAAATAGCAGTATTTTTTAAATGATATGAAACATTTGAGTGGTTGATGTATGTAAGGATTAATGTGTTAAAATAGTCCTCGGCTGCTTACATGGGATAATTATAATCTTAGAGTTTATAGAAGTGTCAAAATAAGTCTACAGACTCGTTAAATTAGAGCGAAAATAATCACCATTGATGATTATAATAACTCAATTCCAAAATAATCATATATAAATAATAAGATGTTATTTTAGTAGTTTGCTCGAAATGTAAATACATTGAAATTATAAACTTTTTTTTTTTTTTTTTTTTTTTTTTTTTTTTTTTTTTGGAGGGTTTTTTTTTTTTTTTTGTGAAGGTAAGACTTATTATCTTTGATTGGTCAAACTATAGTAGATGAGGACATAAAATATTAAATTTTGAAATTATATAAATGAATTAAATGGATATTACAGCTCGGGGAGAAAATCTTCGGGAATAAAACAACAATCCCAATTTATCTCTCAACTTATTAAATATTAATTAATAGAATAGTGATAATTGAGATTCAAAGAAGAAAATTATGACAATTTATCGGGTTCAACATGACACATAAGAAAATTACAAATATAAAGTATTAAAAAAAGAATAATCGAAGGCTATTATACGAATCTTAAGTCATCCTCATGTCCCTAATTATTTGAGGACTGTCCTCACTGTTGACAGACTGGCTGGGGAGATTCGAACTCGTGACCTGAGAAGACTAACAACCTTCAAAGAGGCTGCTCTACATACAGGCCATGCCTGACAGCATATATATATGTTAAAATTAATATTATATTTTATTGAATAAAGCATTACTCAAAACTTAATTACCTTTTCTTTAATAATAGCTATCACTTGTTGATCTATTAATCTAGGAGGTTAATATTAATCTACTAGATTATATCATAATCCATAAGCATTTAAATGTCTTAAATCATCAAAATTGAGTGAAATTAGCTCATGGGATCCCTTTTATGAAGACACTCCTTTAATCGCAAGCAAAACAAAAAGTCAAATGTCATGAGTTCTTCAAACAATACCATGAACTAGTCAACTACTGATTTAAATGCTCAATTTATATTGATTTAAACACGACCCATTAAAATAATTAATTCAACCACAACTTCTTTTAAAAATTAGTTCATTTATGCATTTGACTTTAAATGCTTTGAATTCAAATATATACATCTAGATTTTTGTTTTATTAAATATATTTTCCATTGATGTATTAGAACTAAATACTAAGCTATAGCCAATATTTATTCAATATTTTATTTAAATTTTTTATTTACAATAATAATAAATCTATAATTTAAATATTATAAATTTGCAAATAGTAAAAAAAATTAAATAAATGAGGCATTTAGACGTCTCACTCCTAAACCTTTATATTTATAAAATTAACATAGGATTAAAAATAGCACTATTATAATATTTTTAAAAAGTGCATGCATAAATTCAAAGCACTAAAATATAATATGTGTAAATATTAAAAGTTAGATATGTAAATTCATAAGAATTGTGTGCCATTTATGTAAATTACTCCAAATAAATATTGGTTAAGCTTTAGAGGAAAATTTCTCCCGCTATAAAAACCCCTCCATTCACCCTCTTTTTTTCCCCACCAAAAACCCAACTCTTCTTCTTCTTATTACTTCCTGCTCTTCCCCTCACTGCTTCAGCTCTGCTTCAATAACCTCTCTGCAACTCCCAAGGTCGCCTTCCATGGCGATATCTCCACTCCTTTTCATCATTCCTCTCCTCCTCATCTGTCTTCTCCGCTACATTACACAGAAGAAGAGACCCCCACCGACGACAAAGCATCTCCCGCCGGGATCCATGGGCTGGCCTTACATAGGCGAAACATTCCAGCTCTATTCCAACAACCCTAACGATTTCTTTGCGGAGAAAGAGAGAAAGTATGGCGCGGTGTTCAAAACCCACATACTGGGTTGCCCCTGCGTGATGGTTTCAAGCCCCGAGGCGGCGAGATTCGTTCTGGTAACAAAGGCGAATCTATTTAAACCTACTTTCCCGGCCAGCAAGGAGAGGATGCTCGGTCCGCAGGCCATCTTCTTCCAGAGAGGCGATTACCATGCCAGGCTTCGCCGCCTGGTTCTTCGCGCTTTTATGCCGGAAGCCATCCGCCGGAAGATCGCCGGCGTTGAGGAAATTGCGGTTCGGATGCTTTCTTCTTGCGATGGCCGATTCATCAATACCTATCAGGAAATGAAGACGGTGAGTTCCGGATATCTGAAATTATGATCTGTATGACCTAATTTGTCTTCGAGTTTACAATATTTGAGTGAATTGAATACAGATTCAATAATTGGAAGAAGATTTAGTGATTCTGTTCTTTTAATTTTTGAATTTCGCGCCTTTTTTAATCAAGATGGGATTGCTTTCTGCTTCGCTTACCTGTTTGACTAGGTTTGAGTCCTGCTATAATTCTAATTTAAATCCATGCACTGTTTTGTTAATGATTTTAAGAAAAACAATTCAATTCAATTTTTGAAAACAAAGATTGCATTTATACAAACACTATAATCACCTACTTCGCTGTGGATTTGGTGCTACAGATCTTAATTTGGATCAAAATCTCCAGATCTATTTGTCTTTTTACTGAGAAAATGATTTTATGCAAGAAAAAAAATTCATTACATCTATGTTAGAAAAACACTATATATTTCACATGAATTGAATCGTGAACACTGAAATCAAAATTTTCCCCAATTTTGTTTGGTGAATCAATCCTAATCACCATCAATTTATTTTAATTACAGTACGCATTGAATGTCGCCTTACTCTCAATCTTCGGCAAAGAGGAACAATCCTGTATAGAAGAGCTGAAGCAGTGCTACTATATTCTGGAGAAAGGATACAACTCAATGCCCATCAATCTTCCCGGAACACTCTTCGAGGAAGCAATTAGGGTTTCTTGTAGCGAAAATCATATCATCCCGAAGGGATTCAGAAGCTAAAACAGATCAATTCGATGCCGGCGACCTTCTCGCATCCTTCATGGAATCGAAGGAAGCTCTTTCCGATGATCAGATCGCCGATAACATCATCGGCGTCATCTTCGCCGCTCGAGATACAACGGCCAGTGTTCTTACCTGGATTCTCAAGTATCTTGCAGAGAATCCATTAGTTCTTCAAGCCGTAACAGTGAGCACCATTAATGTTATATTGAGTTGTATAGATTTATTATCTTTTTGATTGTTTTGATTGATTTTTTTGTGTTGATTGATTGGAATGCAGGAAGAACAGGAGGAGATTAGGAGGAGTAAAGAGAAGATTGAAGGAGATGAAGAGTGTGGATTGAATTGGGCTGATACAAAGAGGATGCCTGTAACTTGCAGGGTGATACAGGAGACTATGAGAGTGGCCTCTATTCTATCATTTACTTTCAGAGAAGCTGTGGAAGATGTTGAATATGATGGTGCGTCAATTTCCATCTTTTCATTTTTTTTTTTTTTTGGGCCATTTACATATAGACCATCCAATCCTTATGTGTTTACATATCTAATGCTTAAACTTTGATTATATCATTTATATCAACAACAACTTTGTTCACATCAAAAATACTACCGAGAAGTACACATTTTCATGCACAGGTAAAATTTGAAGCTTAGGTTTGTATTGATATGTAAATACATAAGAATAGAGTGGCATGCTTGTAAATCTTCAATTTTTATTTTGTTTTTTTCATTTTTGGTATATCAAGGTGGATTTTTTACATACACACCACCCAATTCTCATGTATTTACGGGCCTAATACCTATACTTTGATTATTACATTTATACCCCAATAACTTTGATATCACATCAAAAATACTTCCATTTAAACTTTTAAAAAGCGAAACAAGCTTTTTCAAAATTGAAGCTTGGGTATGTATTGATATGTAAATACATAAGAATTGAGTGGTATGCTTGTAAAGCTTCCATTTTTATTTTTGGAATATGAAGTTGGGGACTTTTTCCATTTTTTTTTTAATTTTTGAATAATTTGATGTGTGTGTGTGCAGGTTATCTAATACCGAAGGGGTGGAAGGTGCTGCCGCTGTTCAGAAATATTCACCACAGCCCAGACAACTTCCCCGAACCTGGAAAGTTTGATCCCTCTAGATTTGAGGTAATAATAATCAAATCCGAATAAAAATCTCATTTTTAGATTAAAAATCAAATCTTTCATATTACATGTTGAAATATAAACAGAAAGTTACACTAAGAGACATTTTTTTTTAAAATCAGAATTTATAAATCTCTCATTCTGAGAATACAAGTTAGAAGTTTTGTGTTAGAATATTATCATATAAAGTTTCTTAAATTTGACTTAATTTAAAAATTCATTTTTTAACAAAATATGGATCACCACATTCCAATATAATTTTACAAAACTATCCTTAACCTAAAAAAATACTAAAAGAGGTGTGGTTGCCAGTAAGAAAGAGGGAGACATTGATGGAATTCGTTAATGGTGTGGACGGTACTGTCGCTGTCCTCGCTCGTTCACTTCCAGCTGAATTCTCCCCATTATTTTAGAGAAATTTACACACATACCACATAATTATTACATATTTACAAATCTATCATCTAAATTTTTATATTTACATAAATGTAAACTTTTAAATATCTTATCAACTAAATTTTTTTTTTTTTTTTTTGGCACTTATATCTTTTTTTTTTCTAAAAAAAAATTAAGATAAGCATATCATGAATTCATGATAATCTATAAAATATTGATTTTTGAAAAAAATTATGTACAATGCAAAAACTTAATTTTGTTTTATTTGCTGTTGTGGTAACAGAAAAGTCCAAAGCCGAACACCTATTTGCCGTTCGGTAACGGGACCCACGCGTGCCCTGGAAATGAGTTGGCAAAGCTGGAAATACTCGTCTTTCTCCACCACCTCACCACAAAATACAGGTGTGGGTCCCCCACGCACCCCCCTCCTCTCCTCAAACATCAAGTTTTAAAAAATCTGATTTTGATTGCAATCTTATCACAAAATTTTGTTGGGAAGATTTACATACACACCACTCAATTGTTTCGAATTTACATATCTAACACCCAAAATTCAATTTTTTTTTTTAGCATTTCATTGATTTAAAGATAAAATTTTGAAATTTAATATATTTTGAATAGCTCACGAGCTAGCGAGTCAACTCAGGATTAGCCTGAGTTTTACTTGTTTAGTTCGTCTAAACTTAGTTCACAAAGTCCGCTTGATTTAGTATATAATTTAAAATTGTAGTATTGTTGATGTGTTGTCAAAGAGTTTAGGGGGCATAAATATAAAACTAAAGTTTAGGGGTTAGATGTATAAATACATATAACACTTGGGTGGTATGCATGTAAATGCCTCCCACTTGGGATAAGGTGATGTAGATTAGAGGAATTCTAAAAGGGCCAATTGCATTCCTCTTTTTCTTTTTGTTTTATATTATTAAAAGATAAGATACATTTCAGTACTTATCTTCTCAAATATCTCGTATATATTTACTCCTATTTTATAACATTGCAATCACAATACTTAGAATATATTATTTTCTTAAATCTTAATAATTGACTTAAAGCTTAACAAAAAAAAAATGAAAATTAATAATTATAAAACAATAGTTTTATACTCTTTAAAATAATATAAACTGTTTTTTTTTATATATTTAAATACTAATTATTATTATTTTCATTCTAATTTATTGATCTTATGATATACTCTTTTCCAGGTGGTCGATTTCTGGATCCAAAAGTGGAATTCAGTTCGGACCCTTTGCTCTGCCCCTTGACGGCTTGCCCATCAAAATAGATCGCTTACAACAAAATAAATTAAATTCCAATTATTAATAGGCATAATATTTATCAGCCTCACTAATTTCTATATATATATATATATATATAGATAATTTATGTATATAGAGAAAAAAAGGAGAGCTGTTGCAATCAAAGTGATGTGCGATAGGACTCTCTCCCTTAGAAAGTAGAGAATATTACGTCTGGAGTACGATATATCTGTACTTCATGTACAATATTGTTATATACTGTTGTAGAACATGTGTGCAACAGTACAATATTGTTGTGCGCACGTAATAATTTTTCTAGAGAAAGAGAGAAGAAATTAGTTTATTCTTGAGGGGAATGGAAGAAAGAAGCATTAGGATTATTTGAAAATTAAGAGGATTGGGGGAGGAAGTTATTTTATTTTATTTTATTTTATTTTATTTTTCATTTTTTTTAAGGATGTAATGTTCATTTATCATTGAGCAGAGAATGTGTTTGATATAATTGTAATGCATAGCACATTGATTAATTTTAGTCATTTTTATCAAGAATTTTATGATGTGTACAAGAATGGTTTGTTGTGCCAAGTTGGCTCTAAATTTGGCTCTTAATATGCCTTTTGATGTGGCAATATTCACTAAGGATGTCATTAGCATGAAGCTCAGAGCAATCAATATCAATTTAGGACCACATAATCTTTGAAGATATTATGCTCCAAATGATTGCTCAAAGGAATATTTATGAAGACAAAGATTGATTGGAGAACCAAAATATTATCAATTCGATTCGAAAAATATACATACGTGGCATATAAAATGTTATTATGTTTGATGAATTGCAATGTTCGAGTAATGATTTAAATTTGACCATATCATCGTGTATTTCATGTGGTTGGAACTTTGACGCTGTCTGGAAGTGCAAACATCAAATGGAATAATCTCGTGTTACCAAGAAACATGCTTTGCGATAAGTTTGGCTATTTTCTTTTTCTACATTCATTAAATGGGGTAAGGATTAGAACAAAGGGGATTCTTATATATAAATATAATAGCTTATCTCCTTCATGTGTGTTGCCAGCTTAGCTTATCAATAATGGCTATAATAGTCAAACATCAAATGATTGAAATGGATGATTAATGGCTTCAATTTCAACCAAAATCACATTAGGGTTGAGCCACAAAGTCTTCTTATATTGTTTGGCTCGGTTCAAAATACAAGATGATTCAGCTAGCACAAGCTTGCTTTTCTTGGCTTCGTTTGAATTCATCTATTTATACTCTATAGTTTGAAACCTAACAACTCGTGTTATTAGAAACTTAACTAGGGTTTATGAAAAGCTATAATGTATATAAATATTCCTTTAATTCATTTACCCAATTCCTTCATAGAATTCTTTAAATACACACTATAGAACCTTAAATTTAAACATCCCTAATTCAACAAGACTTTGGATTCATTCCCATATTGAGCGGTTATAAGAACCCACAGACATAAAGGCATAGCACATAATTGTAAATTAGCATGGCACATTTAAAACAAAGGGGCATTTACATACAATACCACCCAATTCTTTTGTATTTATATATATCACAACTAAACTTTACTTTTTACATTAATACCGCTCAAATCTTTCGCATCACATCAACAATATCATAATATTTACTTTTAAAAGTGAAATACAACTTTTCATGCATAGATAATGAGACATGTATGTAAAAAATTAAACTTTGTTTGGTCGAATCCATTCTCCGTGTACAATTATATATATACACCACTAATTTTAGGTGGGATTTTTTTTAGCTTCTATTCTTATGTCTCGACCCTTTAATCATACCTCGAGCTTTTTTCCACTTTGGAAAAGTGCCTAAAATCCACTAATCACTCGTGTTATCCGGATAAAAAATGAATTTCACAACGTTCCAACAAAGAATCAATCAATATGTCAATATTTAACTGAAGTAAAGACTAGATAATAATGTTATTCAGGCCGGTCGATCTAGCAAACATATTATATATTCTACTAAATGGATTGCCACCAAACAATCAAGACTAGGAAACTACCATGAGCACTAAACTCACCCATATCAATTTCAACAAGCTTTATCCCTTGCTTGCAATAATGTAAATGGACTACCATCGAATTATTAATACACAAATCTATAAAAAAATCAATGCCCGGCTATTTATACTCAAGGATATAGATTTTATATATGTGTCGCGTTCCCCGACTCTTTGGTTAGCAATTGCAAAGTCAGTTCTAAGTTCCCTGGGGTTGGGGGTTCGAATCCGCCTATGTGTTGTTAAGTTGAGTGGTTCATAGAGTTGGCTATTTATCACATACACTTAAGACTGTTTATCTCATAAATTGATTGCCATCCACGACACTCAATCTAACCTATCCAATATCAGCTTCACTAAATCGACACTATATTCTCATCTAAGAGCCTTTGGTTGCATATAATAAAGGATTCAAGGACTCTTAATATTCCAATCATGTTTGTATACTAGAGGTCATGGTATACCACTATTTCCAGTTACATAAAACAAGGATTCACTTGTAGCTCTCTGATCCATCTTCGCCGCTATATCAGCCTAAAAATTTATTTTCTTTGCTTATGTCGACAAAATTTTCCTGACCCGTAACGATCAAGATCTATGCCAACTCGCCTTCATAAACTTCACCATCACTTTAACATGAAAAAATATAAGGTCTATTTCCTACTTTCTTTATGAATTATCCTCAATCAAACCAAATACATAAACTTTTCACAACACAAGTATGAGTGATTGCAAACAAATCTCTAATCCTTTACCATTATACTTTCCATCAGATGTTGCTTCCAATCTACTACTATGTTCTAACCATGGTTTATATTTACAACTTGATGGATCTCTTCAATATCTATCTATTGTCACAAGAGAAGACCTCATGAGCTATTAAAAGGGTATGCTAGTAGGGGTGTGCAATATTTGGTTAAAACTAAAAAACCAAACCTAATCAAATAAGTTTTGATTGATCTGGTTCGGTTTCAAAAATGCATTTCTATTTTTGGTTTGCAAAACCTGAATAACTGGTTTTTGATTTTTGGTTCGGTCAAGTTTAAATCAAACCGAACAAAATCAAAATTAAATAGACAAATTCATGCAATTAAATTGATATTATACATAAAAGAAATGTAATTTTTCATGTTTGTTCATAACCAAAATCCAACTAACAAAAAAATTTTATTTTATTTTTTTATAATCAAACTGTTTAAACTAAACTAAATTTGGTTCGGTAAAAATATTGAATTAAATTTTGAATGGTTTCATTTTTCGGATTTTAGTTGCAATCAGTCAGACCAATTAGAAAACCGATCCATCCAAACCCACTGAATGATCAGTCATCACATGCATCTTCCAAAACAATGCCATTTCCTACTTATCAAGCGAATTCTTCATTATATCAAGGGAACTCTTCATTACATTCTTCTCCCATCAAAATAAAAGATCCGCATCTTAATGCCTATTCAGATTTTGCTTTGGTTGGCGATGCAAAAGACTGAAAGTCAAACACAAAGTGATATAATGTTCATTTGGGTCATACTCTAATCTCTTGGTGTGTAAGGAAACGATTTACCACTAACTGAACACTAAACATTGAAGTTTTAAAAATCGAAAACCGAAATGTATTTTTGAAACCAAACCGAATCAACAAAAACTTTCAGTTCGGTTCAGTCATTCAATTTTGACCAAATAATACACACTCTAGGCTCTGGGACAAAATTGTCGTGCAAACAGTGAAGGGGCTATTTTGGCACTTTTCTACATATATGTGTGTGCAATACGAACCAAGTTAAAAGGACATTGGTTAGAACTTAAAATTATTGGATTTTGTAATATGAACAAAGTGTGAGGTGATTACAAACTGCACATTAAGAATGTAACCAAATAAACCAAGAAAAATTTATAATACATGAAAATAAAAATGAAAATGATATTTATACATGGTCCTAACGACCATAATAAGAAACTTTCAAACAATAGGAAAATTACAATAATTATTAAAACAAAACAAAACAAAACAAAACAAAATGTAAATTTTGTATTGGATTTTGTGATGAAAGATAAAGATCATATCAAGCTGCCAACAAACTGTTCAAATTTAATTTCAAAGCATTGCAACCATGCCAAATGAATACGACTATAAGCCATAGCTAAATCCAGAGAAAAATTTAAAATTCTATCTTATCAAATGTGACAATAGAAACAAACTCAATCAACAAGTTGCACAACAGGATATCATTAATAAAAAATTAGACAGACTGGCTCTCAAATTCATTAAATTTGCTTTTAAGTCTTAAGTACTGCATTATCATCTCAAAACGTATCAAATTTATTTTAAAACCGTCTTTACTTAATTTTTTTTTCCCCAATCACAAGCCATGTTACTCATGTTTTTGCTTCATAGACAACACTGATTTTTGGAGAGGATTTTTTTAGCTTCTATTCTCATGTCTCGACCCTTTAATCAAACCTGAAGATTTGTTCAATTTTGCAGGAGTGTCTACAATCCACTAATCACTCGTGTTGTCCAACTAGAAAATGAACTTTACAACATCTCTATAAAGTATCAATCAAATTGAAAACTACAGTCGATAATATTGCTATTTTGGTCAATTGATCTAGCAAACACACTATATATTCTCAAAAGGACTATCACAAAACTATCAAGCCTTCGAAACTATTATTAGGACTAAACTCACCAATATCAATTTCAACAAGCTTTATCCCTTGCCTACAATGATAAAAATGGATTAGCATCAAATTATTAATCCATGACTCTATAAGGAAATCAATCCCTAGCTATTTCTACTCAAGGATATAGATATTATAACTTTTATCAATGACTTCTCTAAGAAAAAAATAATGAATTAATGATGGAAGAGCAAAATAAAAAAAATATGTTCCAAATCTCTTCTTGTAATGGGGAATTAAGAACTAATTCAAATTTTTATTTACTCTCAAATAGAATGGGGTAGACGAATAAAAACATAAACATATTATTGAAATTTTTCGCACTTGGCTTCTTAAAGTTGGCTCTTTATCACATAAACTTTTTAATATTGTTTATCCCATAAATCGATTAACATCCACGAGAACCAATCTAACTTATCCACATCAATATTGTCATCTAAGAGTCTTTGGTTGCATATATGATAAAGGAATCAATGATTCTTAATATTCCAATCATGTTTGTATAGTAAAGAAAACAAGCTCTACGATAAAGGTATACCACTATTCCTAGTTACCTGCAAACAAAAATTCACTTGCAGCTCTACAAACCCTCTTTGCCGCTATAACAATCTAAAAATGTCTTTTTTCTTTGTTTATGTCCACAAAATTTTTCCGACCGGTAACGATTAAGATGCTATGCCAATTCTCATTCGTAAACTTCACTGTTCATTTTAATATGAAAAAATATAAAGTTTATTTTCTAATTGGTTTATGAATTATCTTTAGTCAAACCGAATGCATAAACTTTTCA